AGATACTTACAGACATTGATGTTCGACATGCCGTCATTGCACAGCCTGCAAAGGGAAATTAGTAAATTTTAATTACACAACAAAAGAGACATTTTAAAAACAGAGAACTGTATTTTCGTTATCAAACTGCTTTCGCATTTCATCCTGATCTGCAACTTTGGTATCACCAAACTACTTAAGGAGGAAGGCATTGACATCTCTTTACGTTGAGGTTCTTCCTGATTTGAGGTTCTTCCCGATTCGAGGTTCAATAAAGAATTTGCACATAACTGAGTTGAAATGGCAGTTACACCACCTTTAGGGAACTGGGTATGCCAATTGTCCTTCCTGGCCATCCAAATGTCACCCAGAGTGCCAATTGCCATCTCTACCCATTTTAACCAAAAGAGCTGGTTTGAGATTATACTCAAAATGTCAAAACTCAAGGCGTCCAGCATAGATCATAACATCCCTCTGAAATCAGAGGTCAAGTGTTCACCTGTTCTCCTCCCCCTCCAGCAGCTTCCTGTACATGGCAATCTCAACGTCCAGCGCGATCTTGATGTTCAGCAGCTCCTGGTACTCCTTCAGCAGGCGAGCCAGCTCCTCCTTGTCTTTCTGCAGGGCGTTTTCCAGCTCTTCCAATTTTATCCTGGCATCCTTGAGGGCCATCTCGCCCCGCTCCTCAGCCTCAGCAATAGCTGCCTGCAGCTGCTGGTTCTGAGGAAGGAAAAAGGGCACTTTCTCAGACCTCATTTTGTCACTTAGGATCAGCCTTCAAACCCCAAGGGGGTAAGTCAAGGATCGAAAAGGAAACATCTACATGAAGTAGGCAAGGGCTGGTTGGAGAAGCCATTTCTGCCCTACCCATGGTCGTTTGTGATCCGACCTGATGCCAGCACCCCATGAGACACCAGCCAACCCCTACCTGCTTCTTCACGTTCTCGATCTCAGCCCGCAGCCTCTGGATGTTCCTGGTCAACTCTTGGATCTCTATCTTGGTGTTACGTAGGCTGTCCCCGTGCCTTCCAGCAGTGCTCTGCAGCTGTTCGTACTGGTGGCACGAAGACAAAGCAAACCTTCAGTGAAACATTCCTGATGCCTACGTGAGATTTGTCAACAGTTTCATAGCTCACGTCCTGCTACAAGGACCTATCATGTTGGTTGTGGACGCCCAGCTCATTGTAAAAGAGATTTCTGATATTGAATTATTAGTTTTGAGCTTTGAAATAGATCTTAGTGACACCAATAAGCACTGTTTGGCTTCTGAAAAGCTACTTGGGGCAGGCATTTTCTAGTTAAGGTACGTTTTTGGCCATCTTTTTTGAGAGGCTTGTACCGTGCCCCAAAGTGAGATTCTGGACTCCTTGAAAACAGAAAGTCAGATCCCTCAAACACAACCCAATTCCTCTTGAGACTTCCTTGCACGAGCTCCAGCACCGTTAGCTCGAAGAGGTGTCTCATGTTGCCATAAATTATCTGTGAACTCTAGCCATTACCCAGGGTTGATGGCTCACTCAATTGCTCCCCAACTCACCTGGCTCTGGTACCAAGCCTCAGCTTCAGCTCTGCTGCTCTGAGCGATCTGCTCGTACTGGCGCCTGACCTCCTCGATGATGCTGTCCAGATCCAGGTGCCGGTTGTTGTCCATGGACACCACCACAGACAGGTCCCGGCTGATCGTCTGCATCTGAGCCAGCTCCTGCGGGCGAGACGTGACTTAGCCTGACCACCCAAGGAGGGGAGAAGAGAGCAGCAGCTCCAGGCAGCCTCTCCAGACCAAATCCACACGGGCACGCAGCCCAACCTCGGCGCCTTTGGCCACCGCACACCTCATTGCAGCTCCAGCCACCCCAGGGGAAGGGAGAGCTCTTACCTCCTCGTACATGCACCTCAGGAAGTTGATTTCATCCGTCAGAGCTCCCACCTTGGCTTCCAACTCTACTTTAGTCATGTAGGCACTGTCCACATCCTAAAGGAAAGATCACACAGACAGTTTTGTTTCCTCCTGGAAATCCTTCAGGATCATGGAAATGACAGTCTGTGCTGAGGGTAATAGATGTGATGGTGTTATTCAGTGATGCAAATTGAAAACATGGGACTTCAAATATGATCCCAGGGATCCTATAATCTCTGCAAGTTCCCGCTCAAGGAGTCCCCTCCAAGCACAGATAAAGCCTGCTATTTGAGCGATCACTTTGTAGTGCGCGTGACTCACCTTCTTAAGCACCACAAACTCGTTCTCGGCAGATGTGCGCCTGTTGATCTCTTCCTCATACCTATGGAGAGTGAAAATACAAGCTGAGTTTCCTGAACTCTCCTGCCTTAGGCCACAATAAACAAACTAAAAGAAAAATAAACAGAATAAAGTATTTGGACTGGAAAAGCTATGTCCACAATTGCCGCAGAAAGTGTGTGTGTGAAGAGAAATGACCACCAAGCTGCTTGAGTCGCTTTCTGGGTGAGATCACCGCACTTACTTGGTTTTGTAATCCTCGACGTATTGCTGCATGTTCTGCAGCTCTGACTCCAGCTGTCCCCTCTGTGCCAAGATTGAGTCCAGCTGCCTCCTCAGGTTCTGGATGTAGTTTTCAAAGATGACATCCAGGTTCTTCCTGGGCCCCGAAGGGCCTTGCTGTTGGAGGAGCTCCCACTTGGTGGAGAGGACCTTGTTCTGTTGCTCCAGGAAGCGGACCTGAAAGCCAACACATGGAGTATCCACCATCACATGGGGAACAGCAGCAGCAGCCAAGGCACCTCTTTCAGCAAGTAAAAAGATTCTCCTTTGCACGAAGATGAGAGAACCAGTTAAGAGGTTTTTTTTAAATTTCTGTTGCTGCCTAAACTACAAGATCGGGAAGAGGAGGAAATTTCCAAGTCATATTCAAGTCAAAGGAGCTTTTAAATGTAGCTCCAAGTACATTCCCACTGCTGGTAGTGTAGAAATCTTAGATTTCTGGTCTAGATTTAAAAGTCGGGATATTTGAAAACAAAGAGGAAAAAAAAATGTAGGAATGAATACTTAAATGGGAGGGTATTGGGGAAGAGAATGGCACAGGAGGGAAAATTTGTGCCTGAAACCTGCAGATGTTTGGAGGCGTTGAGCCTGCTTGCAAGAATAACATATTAGTCGAGCCCGGTGCAACAGGCTCGGTTAAAGCCCTGAAGACATAGCTTTGATCTCGTAGGGAAGAGAGATTCTCATCTCTTCCCTAGCAGTACTTAATAAAAAGACTCTGCTCAAGCTTCTCAGCCTGCTGATACTTAGCTCGAAAAGGACATTTCTGCAGAACTTGAAAGTTCCTCCCAATTTTGACCCTTAATTAGGCTCAATCCCACCCTCTCACCTTATCAATGAAAGAGGCAAATTGATTGTTAAGAGTCTTGATCTGTTCCTTCTCCTGGTTTTTGACCTGCTGGATCTGGGGATCAATCTCAACATGGACTGGCTGTAGGAGGGTTGAGTCAACCTGCACCGGCTGGATTCCAGGGCCACCTCTACCGGGGCCACCAAAGCCTGGCATGCCAAAGCCTGGTCCACCAAAGCCACCCATTCCTCCACCTCCACCAAAGCCCCCCATTCCTCCACCACCCATTCCTCCACCACCCATTCCTCCACCGAAGCCACCCATTCCTCCGCCGTAACCACCCATTCCTCCACCGTAACTACCCATTCCTCCACCAAAGCCACACATTCCTCCTCCGCCCATTCCTCCGCCGAAGTTGCCTAGTCCTCCTCCATAGCCTCCACCAAAGCCACCCATTCTGCCTCCGTAACCTCCGCCACCATAGCATCCACCCATGGAAATCCTTCCACTGCCACCCATGTTGTGGAGACTCTTGCTGCTAAACCCTCCACAGCGTCCACCACCTCCAAATCCCCTGGACATAGAGAACGAGCTGTAGCTGCTCCTGCTTCTGCCGCCACCTCCTCCAAAGCCACCACCGATGGCAGAGCAAGAGCTGTAGCCCCTTCTACTCCCGCCTCCAAAGCTTCTGCAGACAGACTGCCGAGACATGGCTGTTTCTTCCAAGCAGAGTCAAAAATCAAGAAGATAAGAAAGGTCAATGGAGTTGTGCTGCAAGGAGGTGAGTGCGAAGAGAAGGGAAGCAAGTCCCTCTGACTGGAGGGCAGTAGATGCTCTCTTTTATCTGTTTCTGGAGGTGGGCTGGGTTTGCATGGGCGTGAAGGAGGAGACAGTTACTGTCTTCATCAGCGTGGCGTGGTTTACAGATTTTCATCTTCAATTTGCCAAACATTGACCCTACCCAGAAACACACCCTATAATGCAGGAGAAAATTAAAAAATGTACAACTGTGTCTACCAAGTGGTAGCACTCAGTGACTAAGCCTTACGCTCCTGTGGTATAGTAACAGTCTCCCTAGGATATACTAGTCTTTCTTTTTTTTTCACCTTTCATCCATTGTGGTTGTTTCCCTGCTTATGTTTATCTTTATTTTGATCTTTCACTCCAAAGCCCCATGGCAGGCAAGCGCTGTCGTTCATGCCAAGTTGTAGCACGGCTTTCACAATTCCCAAAACACACCTATGTTACACCCTTCGTCTTCTTTTTACATGGAAAATTGCCTTTGGCTTTGAGAAGCAGTTTCTCAATCTAGGGCCAGGGCTCAGCAAATTGCATTTTGATGAGGCTCTGCGTCTTTGTGATAAATAAAACCCTACCAGAAACAAGGTGCCGGAGCAATGGTTGGCACTGGAATTTCATTTATTGTTGGACCAAACTCTTAGTGAAAGTAAGACCTTCGTGCCAAGATAGTCTCAGCACCGGTGAAGACATGCCACAAGTATCACGGACGGGAAACCCCTTCGGGATTCCCTGAAGGCTTCAAGACCATGAGAAGAGCCAAAGAAGACCTCAGGAACCCAGCTGCTGCGGTGGGAAGTGTGGACAGACGGACGGAAGGCTCTGAGAATAGACAGAGAGGAGGAGGCGTGCAAAACCGTGCTGCCCACATAATAAATCCTGTAACTACTGAAATGCAATTAGCCAGGCGGAGGATGCTGGAGAGCTCAGCCCCTTTGTAGAGACACACAGAAATGAGGAGAAAACAGAGGGCACAACAGCTTTCACTTGAGGAAGTGCATGTTTTTCAGCCGCCTGGCTTGCTTCGGTATTTATATGCAAATCCATTTTTGGCAGACGTACACGCTGTGAGCTGCGTTGAGCCCTCCTTCAGGAACAGGGGTAGGTCTCCTTTTTAAGCTTATTTGAAAGCAGCCACCAGGTTTTAGAAAGGCAGAAGCTTATCAGAACACCCTGGTTTTGATGCCACACTGAGAAACGATTAGCTTATGAGTTAACCTTGCGATAACAAGACCATGACCCATCGTGCATTCATCCTTTTGTCTGGCAGAAGCCTGCTTATTAAACAATTACTGCCCCATTTTACATTTTTCTATTGAGAAGTTCCTTTTTTTAATCAGGTTTCAACTTTTTAAAGCCACCTAAAAAATTCTGGAGTTCCCAGACCTTTATGACTGTAACTACAGCATCTAACTGTGCTGGCAGATGTCTAGCAAGGTTCTCACAATTTCCCATAGGACACAGGCAATTAAGCGCTTCTTGAAAATCCACACCGGCAACTCTTGCTGCCTTCAGATGTTTAAATACCTCTAAAAATATCGCCCAGACACCTACTTCCAAAAGTGCCTAGGGACCCAGGCCATGGCGTAACGTGCAGCTGAACTGGCATTTCCACTGGAAAACACGACTGTCCCTGCGCAGCCTGCTTGTCCCACCTGCCCCCAGCACCAGCGTGGATTCGTGAGCGCGTGGGGAAGAGGATGAGGGGGCAGGTAGGGCTAAAAAAATATACAATAACAACACGTCACTGTGAGACCCAAGGGATGGGGAGGGTGGGGGGGTGGGGTGCTTGCACAGCATGGTTTATAGACAATAAACACGTGGGCTGAGGAGGTCCTGTACAGCTTGTCAGTCTTCAGCAAGACTTTGTCTCCTAAATGCCGCGGTTGGGACCAACACCTGCCCAGCCGAGGAGGTTCTGAAGCACAACCCCACACATCACTGCAACCGTGAGCCGAAAGACTTGACAAACACCTGATCCCCTCTCGGGGCGAAGGCAAGAGCCGTCTCTCAACAGCCCTTCCCGTCTCGAGGAGAGGCAAAGCGCAGGCAAGACCTGGCAGCG